TATTTTCCATCGTATTTCTGATTAAAGTAAGACCAGTAATCAGTCTCTTTGTAGCTCTTTTTTGGTCTTCACCAACTCCTCTGGGTGCATCAAAACAAACAACCCCATTCACACTACACATAGTAATTTGACCCATTGTTCATATAAAGATACTGATTAGTCCAACTCCAAGTATGGAACTGGAGTCAGGACGTGTTAAACCTCGCCCGGCATAAAAACTGAGACAAAGGGAACACACCTAGCTTGGCTCTATCCAATCCCCTCAGTCTTCGACGGAAAACACAATATTTAATTATTATTTCACTAAAGATGTCAAACTGTTACATTTCATATTTTGTATTTTTTTTCTTAACTGCTCTCATGCAGTATTTTCTCAACGACATGTTAACTCAGTTCCCTCATTGGGGTTTTCCTCTCTGTCACAGTCTCTCTCTTCCTCGCTATCTTTCTTTCTCGCTTCTTCTTCTTCTTCTTCTCTTGCTGGTGATAGGGGGGGGGTTCTTGATTAGAACACACACTGCCAAGTCCCCCCACATCGCATCATTGCATTTGATTAGCTCCAACCCCCTGCTCCCTCCCTTATCACTACCAGCACAACAGGAAGCACCACACACACACACACACACACACGCATGCATGCACAGATACGCATGCATACATATCACAAACTCAATTGCAGACTTATCTGAACTTCATGGCTGCCTGTAAACGTGCACCGGCATATATGAACACACACAATCTTCACACTAACACACACACACATCTGGGCTGCTGCTGGTGCCGTGGCGGCAGGGCATCAGGTAAAGCCAGCATGGCACTGACAGCTCCCTGTCCCTAATGAAGCATTAATAAAGTGCAGCACAAAACAGTGGATCAGAGAGAAGCAGAGCTCCCCACCTGCCTGGCTGTCTGCTGGCTGCCAGGGGGAGAGATGAGAGGGGAGAGGATCATCTGTAATCCCCCATCTTCCAAAACCCCTCTGCCCCACTTTTCAGGGAGACATCACCCCCCCCCCATCCCCTGCTCTTCAGTATCGTGCTGAAGCTTCTGCACTTTTCAGTTTTCATGAGTCAAACTAAAACTCAATAAAAGACACCTCACATAATTAAACTACTATATAGTAGCACTGCTAACAGCTCTACACCAAACTATACAGCTGGAAGTGCAAATGTTATTTTCTTTACTTTAATATGCAAATAAATGTAGTTATATTGAAAGGTTTGCAACACCTAAAGATAAACACATTTTTATGCATGCAGGAAAAACAGACTTGGAAAATAGAGAGATTCAGAGTAGTTGGCCAAAAAAAAATACAGTTCTCAACAGATTTGGTTGGAAACTGTCTTCAAAAGTTCCTCATATCTGCAGTTCAAATAAAGTTGAAATGATGGTGTGTGTCCAGGAATCGACACAGCGCACATATTCACAATTAGGCACACAGGTAGTCCAGTCACAATACGTCTCGACTGGCAGACAATGCCGGCAGTCTGATTCAAATGAAGCAAACCTGCTGAGTGTAGATATTCCAGGAGGTGTGTCTATTCAAATGCTGCATGCCTGTGATTAGAAGAATTGGAGCAATTGTTCAGTTAAAAAAGAGCCAATCAAATCCAGCTCCAGCTGCGATTAACTGTCAGGAACGAGTCCAAAGAGAAAAAAAGCTAAAAAGAAAAAATTTTTAAAAAACCCTGGATTTTAGAAAATACAGCATCTAAAATGTGAATGAAACAACATTTAGTCTCCTTTACAAGTCTATTTGAGCATACATATAGATATATAACTGAATATGCTTATAATTGGGCGCCAGAATGTTGGCCGTCCTTTGGGCCGTCCTCTCCTGTCCTCATCATGAACTGGAGATGTCATCTCTGTTTGTGCTGGAATGCCGTTGCCTCTGTGTCACTTTGTATCTTTATCTCTGTGTCTATCTGTATCCTTATCTGCCTTTTTTTCTCATTATCCTTGCAGTCCAAACCTCACAGAGCTTTTATTCCAGTGAGGGAGACTGATCTAATTGGCAGCAAGGATCATTCTAATTTAGCGAAGCCAGCTCTGCCGACTTTTTCAGCTTTCCCCTCCTTTTTTTGCCACCTTTCACATGATAATAATGAGAAAATATAAGCGAGAACTCCCTGAAGTTTACTCTGGTGAGTGTGGGATTTTTTTTCCTTCATATGGGCTTGTTACACCGATCACATTCGCCCAGGCAATTTGCCTGCTTGTCTGAGTCTGAGAAGGGAGGCTTATCTGCACTAACGCCCCATCGAGGCTGCGCTTCGTATCCAAATCGGCCCCTGTTAGCATTCAAATCAGGAGCCCCCACCTACCCTTCCTATTCTACCTAGCTCTTGTGCTCCTTACTATCGCCCCCACCCCTCTTTGCTGTCAACACGCCAGCTTCGCTTGGAGGAAAAGAAGGCTGAGGAGAGAGAGAGAGAGAGAGAGAGAGAGAGAGAGAGAGAGAGAGAAAGCCTGGGCTATTATTTAATAAGATCAGGTGAGGCGGCTGCTGTTTACTGTCACAAAGCAAACAGGGGCTCCTCTCTGCAGGTGAAGATCGCTGGGCTTCTCCCTCATCTTCATCCTCTTCCTCGATAGCTGTAACTGCCGCCCCCACCTTAACAACCACCATTTTACGGAAACTGTAAAGCTCCCTGACAAGGTGCCTCTCCTTGTCAGGACACCTCCTCCCATTCCCAACAGCAGGTGCATCAAAACAGCATGGCTGAAGGTTATTTCTGTTAGTACTGTACGCTACATAACAAATACTATTTTATAAGTGCGAGTTGTGTAGCGAGTGTAGCTTGTGTGTAATTACTGTTGCTGTGATTAAACATGACCTTTTACCTGCTCTGGCAGATACAACGAGGTCATTACTGCAGCGCTGTTTTCCACAGGCCATCAGTGTCTCATTGTTCATATTATTATACTGAAATTAGAGGCCAAGTGTCCCAATCACTATCTAGTCCACATTGACTGCCATTAAGCCACCATTGCTGGCTCTCAATGACTTATGATTAATACTTATGATTTCAGTGAGCTGTTTCCCGTCAGTCTTCTTTAGTTAGAGCTGTAATTTAGCACTTTATTTTGAATTTACTTTTGAGGTGTCTTTGTCATAAATTAGGTCTGGAGTCAGTTCCAGCTGCAACACAGCACAAATATAAAATGAGAAAAAAAAAGTGTTCGTTAACGAGTCTCACACACCGAACCTCAAAAAGGACTTGACAGGAGAGAGCGGAAAAAGAAAGAGGGAAGGAAAATGTGTCATGAAGATGAGGAAGGCGAGGTGGGGGGGTATCCTTTGATCAAGAGCACTCCTCGTAGCACTCCTGTCTCCTTACACATCCATAATATATCTCTGCAGGCATTCCAGTCTCTTATTAACAAGGCAGTGCCATTCCATCCTGAAGCAGGGTATCGGGTTTTCAAAAAACAAAAAACTGAAACACATACCTTTATTGTCTTTTCTTCAGAAGTGGTGAAAGACAAAGCAAAACAAAATGCATAGCAAAGAATTTGTGATTCAATATATGCACTCTCCCTTTAAATTAAATCTGTTCATGTTGGTTGTAACAAAAGAGGGGATAATATCAGACATGGGTAAATATTTATTCTAAAAGTGGAAGGCTTAGGAAATGAGAGGGCTGCCGACGCTCTGCTTCTCTCTCACGGGAGAACATGTTTGTCCATGACAGTCATAAATATGTATCATGCAGTGAGATGACAGCGATTATAATCTGATGCCCGCCTTTTGTCGAGCATATGAAACCCAAGAAAGGGCCCCCATCAGTGGCGAACGCAGGCAAAATTAAAAGCTGCACCCTGTCCTATCACTGGAATGAGTCATTCAGCGACAAGTGGCACGCTGTTTAATTAGAGTGGAAACAAAGTCCTCAGGGGGGGAATACCTCTCCCCCCCTTCCCCCCCTCTTTCTCTCTCTCTCGGTCTCATTTGTGGAAAGGTAAATATTCAGAGGGTCGCTTTTCAGCCGTAGCGATTAAAGCATGCTCGAGCATAGCAATACAGAATGTGTTGTGAATGCAAAGCTCCTAAATCAATTCGTGCTGTGCTGCGAAATGAAACGCAACTTGTTTGTACGAGCAGACAGCTGTGGCAGTGCGTCCTTACCCAGGGGTGTCAAGTAGTTCTTCAAACCCAGAATAACTGTGCCGGGCTTCCAAAAGTGCAACAGCAGCCACTTAAATAAGGTGGCCTGTCATCCAGGATGCACTTCAGTGTACAGTAGCAGTGTGTGTCCCGGAGTACAGCTGGTTGACAGGTGTATTCTTAAATGTAAAAACCTCTCTGCTTTTGACCACAGACTGTATGAAATAATGGAAGTAGCCACCTTGATGCCACCCATTGATTTTTTGGACTCTTGTTTTGAAGCCACAAGTTTGGCATTTCAGTCTTTGCCATCTTGGATATTTGGAGCCAGAAGAGGAGAGCTAATTTTAATGCTAACTTCTAGACTAGTGAACTACCCTGTTTTTTTGCTATTTTTCACTAACCAAAAACTTAAAAAAATGAAAGCAGAATGTACCTACTGGAAAAAGTGAATGTCCAGGTCTTTAGAGGGCCTTTAAGTACAACAAAATGCTAAACAAGACTTTTTTAAGGGACTAAATCACTGAAATGAACAGTCATGACCTAAAAACCCATTGAAATAGCGGCAGCTACGGCTCCTATACCCTGCGAATCTGGGGTTATGCCAAAGTTACAGAAACTAGCAAACCTTGTCGTGGTAGCGACTTTTAGTCACTCAAAGCAACCAAACGGATGAGTTATATAAATCCCCTGTACAGTTGTCATGAAGGGGGAAATGTTTAAAACTTGTTTATTTCTGTTGTAAAGTTGGGCATTTTAACATGGTGGTCAGTGGGGATTGATTCGCCCTTTGAGCCAGCCTCAAGTGGCTGTTTGAGGAACTGCAGTTTTTGGCACTTGCCACTTGCTTTTAACTAAACCTTGTTTTCATGTGTGTCCCTGCCTGCAGCTCTGAAGGACCCTTGCACTGAGGTGACCTGCAGCTACGGGAGCACCTGCGTACAGTCCTCAGATGGCTTGTCAGCTAAATGCATGTGCCCCCTCGGCTGCGAGGGCAAGCCCGTGCAGACAGTCTGTGGCAGTGACGGAAAGGACTACCGCAATGAGTGTGAGCTCCATCAGCACGCCTGCAAGAACCAGAAGAACATACGAATGCAATACCAGGGGCACTGCGGTGAGCTCTCTCTCCTCGTGTTTACACATCAGGATTCTTTTATTATTCATTTAGTGTATTTGGTGCCCAGAAAAGAGATGAAAAGTGGGCATCACAGCCCAAGATACCGTCTTAATGTGTTTGATGATATATTAGATTTACAATGACATAAGCAAGGGAAAAGCAGAAAACTCACATTTGAGATGGTGGAATCAGCTCATTTTTGACATTTAGCTTGATAAATGACTAGAATGACTACTTTTGTTTCTCTCTGCAGTCTCTGCTCCTCTCTTTTCTTCTCCCTGCTCTGTTTACTACCTCTGGCTTTTGTTGTTCTTCCTTCACATACTCCACTTACTTACGGCGCGCCTCTGCTAATTCTCATTTTTCATTCAGGTTGCTTTGCTTCACACAGGTACTCCTGTGGTGCGAATTGTTGTTTTCTCTAAGTAGGTCTTCAGAGCTGTCGTTTTCGTCAGGCCCGGCTTTTTCGCTCATCCTTGTTATCATCAGGCGATAGTTGTTTACTCCCAAGGCGCTCAACTTTGAGGTTTATTTTGTTTGTTTTGAGCCAGATGGAGGGAAAGAAAAGCAGACACAAGCTCTGTCTCTTAGCAGCGGGAGCCTCGGGGAGACAGAGCAGGGTGGCGGGGAAAGAGAGATGGATGTGCAGGTCCGCCAGCGGAAGGTTGGTCGTATAAATCCAGCCTGAGACGGCCAAAATGACCTGAGTTGCCCCGTCCTCCCTGGGGAGGGCCAGGGCTCAGGGGACCAGTCGGCCCTGATGGTCCTCTAAATCTTCCTACAGCCATTTCATCTAAAGCCTTGGCTATTTCAAGTTGCTAGCCCTAGCCAGACAAATGCAGCTGATTTATCCACGCTGCTAGTTTTTGCAGCAAACAGGCCATTCTTTTTGTAATTACCCTCCTTGCTCAGCTAGAGGAAAGCATGGATCCTGGAAGCTGTTCTTCTCAGTTAATGGGAGGTAATGGTCTTTCTCTCAGATAATGGTCTGGCTGGCGGGTGAAGCACTGCGTTATGCAGAGACGCTGCATGCATTACGATAAACCCCCTGTTTGCTTGGTTGCTAGTCTCTGCAAGCCTTTGCATTGTGCTGATAGAAAACAATCTGAGGCCTGGCCAGAGCTTGCCGTGGTCACTCCGCCTCCCAGCCCTCCGTAGCCAAAGCACTCTGTCCCTTTTTATGTTCATGCATTGTCACTCTTTGTATCCCTGCCAGAGGTCTTTGGAAACCATTTCCCCTTATTTTCATTCTCTTTCTCTTCCTCCATACTCCTTTCCTGATGATAGGGTGTTTCATCCTCGGTGTGTTTTGAATGACTCGCCGGCAGCTTGGCAGTGATTTGATATGTCACGGTGCTACATAAATCCTTTGTCTTCCCACATGCTGAAAGCGTAGCGGGCAGAATAAAGCTCGGGCTCCTGTTTCAAGGAGTAACACCCCCCGTCCCACACATCCACAAACCAATTCCATTATGATCACGGACTGATAAGGCCGAGCGTGCCAGACCAACGCTCCCCTGGAAGAAGGGAGGTGCCAGGGAGCAAATCAAACGGACCGTCTCTTCATCCATTTCCTTGTCTCCCCCTTCACATCCAAGGTCCCACTCTAAGCTGCTCTCAGCTGCTGGGCCACTGATAATATCTGTGGAGCAGCAGTGATGGAGGATCATGTCTCCTCTTTCCTTTCATAGTCTTCTCCTTTCTCTTCTCTTCTCTTCTCTTCTCTTCTCTTCTCTTCTCTTCTCTTCTCTCTTAATTTACTCGACAAACAAAGCTTAATGCATTCAGCCTATTCTGAGATGATTATTTTGCCTAAAAAAACATTACATGATTGTTGTTTACTGCAATTTAAAAACAAGCTCACCGGAGCTCTAACAGGAACTTTGAACTTTGGAAGGAATTTAACAGTTGCCAGTTTTGAGGCAATTAAGCCAGGACACATGGTATCTTGTTGTATTTGAATGTGTGTTTTTCTTTTGCCAAGGTATTGTTGTTTATTTTTCCACAGAGGACCAAAAGATGGACAAAGATGTTTTTGATTAGACTTTCTTGTTCAGTCCCCCAGGGTCTAATTAACATAAAGAGATTTTTAAATGTTATCTCACAACAAAATTGTTCTACTGCTGTACTGTGGTACATATTCATGAAAGAGGTTGTGTCTCCACAGACCCATGTAAAGACAGTGAGAACAGTCTGAGCACCATGTGCCGGGTGGAGGCTCTCACCCGCCAGCCCCTCATCTTTGGCCTGCCAGAGTCGTGCCCCCCGGGTAATGAGCCTCTGTGTGCCAGCGACGGCCAAACCTACGCCAGCGAGTGCGCCATGACAGCAACTGGCGTGCAGAAAGGCATCAAGCTCAGGAAGATCCACGCGGGACGATGCAGAAGGCTAGGTAAGGGCAGATAGGGTGAGCTCCCTTGCCAATAGCAGGCACTGAAAAGGTACTGTGGTGAGAGTCAAGCAAGTCAAGTTGAGCCACTGCTATAAGTCAAGCACGACAAGTCAAATCATTGATCAGGTCAAGCAAATCACAAGTGAGGTGAACGTTGGCTTTCTAGCTAAAAGTTAGCTAAACAGACTCATTCATGTATCTTTGCTTTGTGGGTTTTGTAGTGACAGATTAAGTTGGATGTGTGGTGGTCATGTCATTCATTTTTGAGCTGTGAACCTTGCATACCGCTGTTCTATTCACACTGCCACCATCAACAACATAATCCTTGAATCCAGAGTTTCTTACTTCTGGACTAGCCAGGTTTGCACACATTGCACTAGAAATCCACTAATCAGGTTTCAAAAACAAAATGTAACTTCTCAATATCTAGATTTATGCAAATATTCATTAAAAAATTCATTAAGGTATGAATGAAGTCAAAGGACAAGTCATGTGACTCAAGCCCCCCACCTTTGCTAAAAACTTAAGGGTGAGAGAGAAAGTAAGTAATTTCAATGAATGCAACATTCAGTGGGGATTTGTCCTTGCTGCGGCTCACAAATAATTAAAAATGACACATAACACACAGAACATAGTGGATTTAAAAACTATGCTATTATGAGCAGCTTAAGAAAAACCTCCTAGTTTGCTGGTGGCTAAATATTAAAGGAAATAGGGGAAAGTAACACACTTTTTATTCCTATGCCCCACAACAGCTCCTTGATGATGTCCTTCTTGTGGTTTTTTCCCGACTTTCCTTTGTTGTTGTAGCTGTGACTTTTCTTTGCTGTGGCCACAACCAGCTTAATACTTGCCATAACATCATACAGCCCATAATTGTCCTTGATTCATTTTTTTATAACCCACTGTTCCACCTGCAGCACTTCTGAATGTTCATGGACTGGTAGTGAAAAGCTAAATAAAAATGTTTTATATGTTGATATGTAGTGAAAGATGAGACTTTATAGTCATTTTCAAAAAGAATGCCCTGTTGTAAAAATAATCCAGGTACAGTGCTCAGGAGAGAACACACCGATTACCTTCATATTAGTACAAAGCACTGGCACTCTAACAATGTAAAACATTCTCATCACAAGGGTCAGCTCAACAGAAATAGTCAGGATGGTTTTAAAGGGTTAAACAAAGCAAAACAGTCATGAAACATCTGCATCACCTTGTCATATATGCAAGCATTCACATAGTTCACATGCTTCCATTCTAAAATTTGAACAGCTGTAGGTGAGCTAGCTTTAGGATCAAACCCTGTAACTGTGCTTTAGTAAATAATGGTACAGAGATAAATGACTCTGAGGTCTCGGGGTCTGTACTGTATCCATGCTAGGAGTAGCCTCTTCCAGCCTGATAAGAGCCTCCAGGACTGTTATCTGTGCTATTAGAACAGGGGGCTTAAGCCTTAGTCAACAAAGAGCTGTCAGCTTTTACTGTACGTCTGATAGCCATCGGAGGAAATCCAATTTTCCCGCTGTGTTGTCGGCAAGGGCCTCGCAAGAGCCACAGTCGTGTTGGCTTACAGCAGTGATGTGCGGAGACCCCCACCCATGTACTGAGACCCCTGACAACACCAAAGACAAGAATAGATCACTGCATGACGCCCTTTGGTACAGTCAACAATGAAGGCTGATACACACTTCTTTGACACACCCTGCTTCTCCCGTTCGCTCAGCTTGACAGCCTGATGGAGGACTGTGAGGGCTTAAAATTGCACAAATCCCGGTCTGAGTAGCGTTGTGAGTTTGTGTTTGCGTATCAGTATGTGTGTGTGTGTGTGTGTGTGTGTGTGTGTGTGTGTGTGTGTGTGTGTGCGTGCGCGCAGCTATATGTGTGTGTGAGCAAGTGGATGAATGCCTTTTTTTCCTTTTCTGCTGTGCGTTTTTCAAATGAAAGAATAATTCAATTTGAAACAGAGATCCATGAAATCATATCCCTAAGCAAATTACAAATTGGTATCTAATGAAAATGGCCATTTCGACTTGTAACCATGACATTGCACATCCTTATAGCCCTCTCACTCAGATACAGCAGCGATGTAATTAAGTGTGGCATGACAGGCTTTTAAAGAAAGAAGAAGACGGAATTGAATTGCTGTACAAATTTGATCCACTGATCAGGAATGAAATAAATTCGAAGCCTGGCGAGTGTCTGCAGAACAGAGGCCTGCTTCAAATTGGATTTTCTCACTTCAATGGCAAATTTGCCATTTTACATTACCAGTGTTTCTTTCTTTTTTCCTAATTTCCGTAATAGATTTCTGCTTAGTGAGTCAAAATGTAATGAATATAAAGGTTTAGACTTTAGCTTGACCCTAAATTAAAATTCTTGAGTATGAGTTCCATAATTTTATTAAAGTTACTGGGGAACTTTTATCATTAAAGTTAGATGGAAGCATGGCAAGCCTGAGCTCCAGTCAGTTGTCAAGGGTTATATCACCAAAGAACATAACAGCGGCCAATCACAATGTTATTAAGTGGGGGATTTTTGCCTTGGATATTAATAAAAGTCACAGGGAACGTAAGAAAAAAAAGCACCTTTCTGAACGGAAATAGAAATGATATCTTCCTGACCCTACTAAAGTAATGTATTTCAATAAAATCTAATATTTTCACTTTTTCATGATCCAATCTCATGTGGTAAAAGCAATTATTTCTGCCACAATAGTAAATTACTCTCTCAGCTTCAAAGAATTCACCTCAAGTTCACCACAAAACATGATTGATACTTTTCTAAAAATGAAGCAAACAAATTAGGTGCTTTTTTTCCCAAGCACCAATGGTATAATTTATTCATTCACATTTGTAATTTGGTCTGTGGTTAATACAAGCTCAAAAGACTTTAACGTTTGGTTTTACAACATGAAATGTCAGCAAATACCCAACTTGTGATTTTTGAGGCTTTTATGTGTGTTAAAATGGCGGATTCTAACAAGTGGCTTAATGAGACTACAGAGCATCATAACCCTGATCGCAGCTGTGCAGCTTTGTTGTGGCGGCGACGTTGAGGTCATGCGACTGTGGTGTAATTTGTTTAAAGCCTAATGTTAGCTTTTTACTTAAGGTGATTGCATTTAGGCTTCAAAAATCATGTCAGTGGTGCGTGTTTGTGAAGATTATCTTGCTGAACAAAATGTGTTGGTATCATAAATGTGTGTTTGCCACAGAGGTTATTTTCTACAATAATTCAAAATTCAATAGAAAAATTCCATTGGCTTTTTGACAAGGCAGCCAAGGTGATACTGATTTCTGTGTCAGCCTACAAAAAAAATGTAATCTCTGCAGCACTCTATAAACGTACTCTTTTTAGTGTGACTAGCTTTGTATCGGCCTGCCTGCAATCTAGGGGTGGGAATTACAGAGTAACTCACAATATAATACTATCATAAAAACGATGGTATCACAATAAGGCGATTGTACGATACTTGATACTTGTCTATGGTTCATTATGTTTATGTGTAACTGACGAAGAAAAAATAGCCCTAAGAAGGAAACAAAACAGGAATTATGTGTGTATTCACAACATTGTAGTGTCAGTTTTAACAGAATTGGACAACTGAGATGAAACAATGTACAAGTGCACAGAGTTTTAGTTTAGTGCCTTTTAACACACACATTGTAGGCTGACTGCCAGTGGTGGTAGTGTTAGCCATTTTCTCCACGATGCAATTAGGATGATGACAAATCAGATGGCTATGCATGTTAATTGTGTTGCATATGTACTTTACTTTCAAGGGACAGTGGCCCAGACACTTAAATGATGACAGTCCCTCTCTGATTTGTTTTTCTCTGCTGTCCGCTCTGTCTGCCGTTTTCCCCTTGTGAGTGTCTTTTTCACCGCAGTTAGTTAACTTCCATTCACTTTACCACCATTCATTGGCTAAGCGCTACCACAAGGACTCATGAAGTAGTGACTCTGGTAAGTCAAATTGGCAGGGTAATCCGTTTAGAGCGCATGCATGCTTTAATATAAATATTGATATTAGGCACCACAGTGCGTCCATAACGTATCGCAAGAGGAAGTAACAACACATATTCCTATATTGATTTTTTTCCCCACTCTTACTGCAATCTGGTGGCTGATCTGTTTGGCTTGTATTGGATTTAAATTAATTTGTGCAATCTTACATTTTTTCTCTTATTTAAATGTAATTGAATTGATTTATAATTTTGTGTATTATAGAAGTGAAAAGTCCCTCACACAGATCAAAAACAACATTAAAACCACTGGTGGGTGAAGTGATTAACATTGATCATCTCATTACAATACACTGTTTTACTGGGAAGCCTTGGATCCTGGCATTCATGTGGATGTCACTTGACAGGCACCACCCACCCAAAAATTGTTGTAGGCGGGTACACCCTTTCATGGCAATGACCCTCCCCGATGGCAGTGGCCCCCCCAGCAGGACAGTGTGCCATGCTACTCAGCAAAAGCTGCTCAGGAATGGCCCGAGGAATGTGACAAAGAGCTCAAGGCATCAACCTGGCCTCCCAGATCCCAGTCTGATCAAGCATCAGTGGGACATGCCGGTACCTCTCCTGACAACCCACAGGACTCCAAGGATCTGTCATCAACACCCCAGTGCCAGACCCAACAGGACGCCTGTGTTCCTGCCTAGACAGTTCAAAGCCAAGTCTGATCCAAGGAGGCCCTACTGTGGATCTGGGGTACCTCTGGGGTACCAGCACATCCCACGAATGCTTGACAAAATTGGGATCTGGAAAAAGTTGAAGGTCAGGTTGATGCTTTGAACTCTCTCTCTTTCTCAGGCCATTCCTGGGCAGTTCTTGCCATCGGGGAGTGCCATTTTCATGAAGAGGGGGTACATGGTCTTAAACAGTGTTTGGGTGGGTGGTGTGTGTCAAAAGGCATCCACATGAATGCCAGGACCAGAGGTTTCCCCACAGAACACTGCACTATAACAAGATAATCAGTGTTATTCACTTTACCTGCTTTTATTTTAAATGTTTAGGCTGATCGGTTTAGATTCTTCTTAGAATGACTATTGTTTTAATACCACACTAATTAACCTGTAATGTGCATGCAATGTACCGGTAATCATTTCTTGTAAGTAGTTAAAACAATTCCAATTCCTGTCCTGTCTTCCTGAAAAAGGCTCAACCTCTGCTGTCGAAAGAACAGCTTTCACACGCACTACCAGTGGCATCAGTCCACCCTGACATGTAATTACTTGTTTGGATGAAAACTGATTTATTCCCCCACGGTTGGACCTGTGGTGTCACGCAGCAGGAAGAACAATCAGTTTAACACTTTAGCTAGCTTGAAATGTTGTTTTTCTACGCTTGCTGAGTACTTCCGTTGTCTTTGGCTTTCCTCTATGGTGATCAGTCTTTCACACTGTTGCAAAATTGGCAGTTAGAAAAAATAACCTTATCAGTGTTTATACAGATGGGTGACAAATTAAAGGAAAAATCTGAAGAGTTTGGCTTAGGTTACCTTGAAATATTCCCAAGGAGGTATAGACAATTCACAGATGCTAGATTCATTCCTTTCCCCCCTATCTCCTTCTTCCAGAGGACTGTCAGGAGGAGTGTCTCTTCAACGCTGTGTGTCTGGTGGAACAGCTGAATGCCCGCTGCTCCTGCGATCCCATCGAGTGCGACGGCACTTACAAGCCCGTGTGCGGCAAGGACGGCCGCACCTACACCAATGACTGCATGAGACGCAAGGCGGAGTGTCTGAGCAGGACCCTCATCTCCATCAAGCACCAAGGGCCCTGTGGTGAGTGGAGCAGGAGGATGGGAAAGAGAAGCTTTTACAGGGACTAATGCTGTTTCCTCTCAAGCCTTCTCTGTCTCTCTCTGCTAATTTTAATGCATATTCAATGTGTTTTTCCCTCTCTATCTTCTAGGCTAACTGTATGTACTTTGAACTTTGCTGAAAAGTGTCTGAAATGGTTTGGTGATGCTCTCTGAAGGGGGGGTCAGGGTAACTCAAACCGACAGGACTTGTGTGCCTTTCTTATAAAAAGCCGTGCCTTCACTTCTCCACTCGTTCACCTCCCATCCATCTCCTCATCCCTGACACACTTCATCCCTCCATCTCAAACACGCAACCAAAATGAAACGCCACCTTCACGTTACTTTCATCTGCTCTCTGTCTTCTACTCTGTCACTACTGCCAGTCTTCCACTTCGGTGGCTTTTGTCGTTTTTTTTTTTCCTCTCCTCTGTCTTTGTCTCTTTGTCTTGTGTGTTGCTCTTTCTTGTATAAAAAAAAGCTATTCTTTCTTGTTTCAGTGCGTCAGTCAGTCTGTCTGTCTGTCTTTGTCCATGTGGTCGTCTTCCTGGCTGTCTGGCTGCAAATGGGAAATGGGGTCACCCAGTGGTTGACCTCATCAGGTGGACTCTGGGAGGTGAAGCCCTTCCCCTCGCTCCAAAAGGACCTAACAGGAGGGGTCTTGTACCGCTGTCTTTTTCTTCTCACTCCTTCTGTCTTTTTGTGTCATTAATGTCCTCTCCTTGTGTTTATCCTCCTGCAAAGATGTGATCCATGAGGTTGGAGAAGTCTTCCTCTCTCCCTGCTCTCTGTTTTATTTCCTGTCTAACTAAAAAACAGCCTCTCCTGTTCCTACCTGCCTAACCACCTCTGACTCCTCTCTTTCTGCATGCAGTAGTGCACGTCAGCTCCTGACCTCACTGCCTCCTGAGCAATCCCTCTCTCTCCATCATCTCATCAAAGCTCGCAACTACCCGATGAATGCACAAAGCTCTGTGTTTTTTTTTTAAAGAATTTCTGAGGATAAAAGCTACACTAGGGTCAGAGTTCGATTGCATTCAATGGAATCTTTTGAAATTCCTTATATCTGATCTTTTTAGGTTTAGAGTAAGTCGAAATCAGCTTTGCTATAACTTTAAAATTTAGTTGAAATCTTGGACCACCTGTAACTGCGCTTCCCACTTGCAAGAATAAATGGTTGCATTTTACATTTCTGCAAATATGTTATATTTGTACATTCTTATGTAGCGGATACATTGAAATTTTATGTTTCAACAACACCGTGGTTACATGTAGTTAGGTTATGGCACAAAAACCACTTGGTTATGGTTAGGAAAGATCATGTTTCGGCTTGAAATACCCAGTTTTGGGGGCACAATCCCCGCTGTAAACAAAGCAATGTCTCAGTAAAAGACAACTGGTTTTGCTTGCCACTATCCCTGGTGGAAATACAGTAATTGGTTGCTAAAACAAACCTCATTTGGTGGCTAAAATGCCACTGGAGGACACAGTTTGTTGCTTGGTTTGCAGGTCTTAAACAGTGGTCTGCAGCTTGACAAACTTCTTGCCTAAATGCCACGCTATCCACTATCCCCGATGTAGCAATGATATTGTAGGGCTGACTACTGGTGTTTTCAAGGTGATATATTTTTTTTAATACTCATCAGTAATGTCGGTATAATGACTAAGTGGGTGAAGGCAAATAATAGAACAGCTAGAACAATCTGGTAAGTTCAAATAATAACATCATTTTATTGTGATGCAGCCTTTACAACCAGGAGAAGACAACACCTACAGTATGACAGTATCCAAAATCTAAGACAATGTTTAGTCTTATATCATGATACTGATATGATGCAGACCTACTGCACTAATGCAAATGTGTCAATTTGACATAAATGATAAAATGTAAAAAAAACAGTTGTCAGACTTTCTTGTGACATCATAAAATTTCCAATGCCCACTTGGCACTCTTGTATCCAAATTATGGTTCAGTTTCACAGTAAATATCAGATTCATCCAAATCATATGCATTTTCCATCCCAGCATATTTTCTGAGAGTGATTGTTTTTTTTAATATTGATTGTTTTTTCCTGTCAAAGTTTATTTTTTTAAAGAATGCCCTTAAACATGTACATATTTTTTAAAGATGACTTTAATCTGGCTCACTCCCCCCTCCACCAGTATCTTAATAACCCATTTTTGACACTGATCTGTGCTGTGATCTGTGTCACCTTTTGACTCAGGTCTACTTCCTTATTTGATCCATTAGCGAAAATCTGTATTTGTTCTACATGTATACTATAAGGCATGGTATAAACAGTTTTGGTTTTAGGGCCAAGTGCCTCTCTAGTGATTCCTGAAGGTGATTTGAATGCCTCATTTTATGTGAATCTCCTGCTGAATCAAAAGCATCTTTGTTGTTTCCCATCCTAACCCGGTAACCCAGCATGCACAATAAAGCCAGAGCAAACTGCTCATGCTGCTCAGTGTCACACTGCCTCAATCAACAAATCCACACAGCAGACACGTTGTATTATTTTGTCCAGAGTTGCTGTCCACATTTTCATTGCTGTTGTGACAGAGGCCGATAAAAACGAGAGAGATCTGTCCATCCCCCAGGCGTTTGGGTGGAGCTGAATACCAAAGTTATCTCCAGTTGTCAGCATCGGGAGGCAACCAGCACTCATTAGCATTATTCGGCCGTGTGAGCTGTGCATAAATTAATGGCAGTGCGAGCTCTTATGTGTTTTGCTCTGTTTCATTATTTCTGGCAAATGGTGTCTCAGTACCAACCCCCCACCCTAGTCCCCCTCCCTCATTTCTTTAGTTATTTTACTTTCTTTCTCTCTCTCTTCATCCTTCCTCTCTTCCCCTGTGCATCGCAGCCGTCAGCGACTGGTAGTATGTTTCTTTAATGCATTTTTATTGACATTTGCATATTTTTCAAAACAGAGCACCACGAACGCCCCCCCCCCCACCCCCCGATTCAGTTTTAATTAAACATCAAAAGAGGCGAGCATAGGTGCCCACAGAGACTGTTGGTTTAGTCAGACAGATGATACGCATGCAAGGGGTGTGTGTGTTTGTGTTTGTGTGTGTGTGTCCATGCACATGTTAGAACTTTCTTTCTGTCTTTCTGTCTTCCCTCTCTGTCCCTCATGTCCTTTCAGTGTTACTGCCAGTGTGTTAGTAGGACTGAGTCCGGATTATATAGAGGTCCCTCTCTGTGTAATAGCACTGCCCCAAAGACTTAAGATATACATAAGCCTTACACACACCCAAGGGCTGCATGCAGTGTGTGTGTGTGTGCGTGTTTGTGTGTTTGTGTGTGTGTTTCTGTATTCCAAAAAGGCTGCCTTGTCTGAGATCGATCAATAGCCCGCACTGATCATGCGACAGGAACACACACTGTATACAGTATGAGACACACACTCCCATTGTGCTCTTCTGTGCTTTTGCTCTGGCAGTGACTGGCAGTGTCAAAAGAAGCCTGCACAATGACCGCTGTGTGATCGTGGTCCACTCGCACTGATTCAAGGCTTTAGACAAAGCTCCATGCATCTGAAAAGGAAGAGTTTGAGCTATTAGATTATCATTATTTGATAAATAATGATCTCCATCCCCGTTTCATTGGCTGAGTGGTGCGTTGGGGCTGGGTGATCGATCGCCCCTGCCAGCTGTCAAACGAATGAAATGCTCCTGGTCTGGCGCTGTCGTAAATCTTGTTTCATGTGGGTGATGGCGCCTAATGTCACCCCTCCCATGTCGGTGCTTGCCTCCACAAAGAAACGGTCATACAAAGAACCCACATGTCCATAATGTCCTAACTGCTGTCCTCCCCAGAACAATTTGATTGATATCTTAAGCTCATCGCTTTAGAGATTGAGACACCACGTGGCATTTAGCTGATTAACTTACGTCCAGGTGGAGTCACAAATCTTCTAGACGTCCAAGAACATGTGAGCGTAACTGTGAAGGATTTTCTGGAAGTGAATCAGAGCTGGCTGCTGGGAAGGAGGGTGAATTGGTCTGCAGCCTTGGATTTTGTGATAGAATATGAGAGCCCTGTGACACGTGAGGAAGAAATGATGTTTGTCATCATCACAGAAGGAGATGAGATCACACAGCCAGTCACAAATCCACTATTAGTATTGTCAGTTCTGTTTTCTTTACTCTGGACTTTATTCTCATCATGTTTGCTATCATGATGATTACACTGGAATTTTCATAGCTGACTTCAATATAGAGCTCTTAAAGTACCATGTTGCTGTTCTCCAATACTCACACACACAAACTGATTAAAACATCATTTTAACCTCACAAGGCAAAAGAACCTGCCATCATGCAGAATCCGAATAATATGCAAGAAATATCTGCTGCGATTAATTCATAATTGACTGTAATTCCATGCAGATGGTTTCAATTGGACGTTTCATAGCATGGAACACACAAGCATATTTTTAGGCCGAAGCATCAAAGTCCTGTTTTTCCTCTTCCTTCTCATATGATGTCAGCACAGCAGGGCACCAGCACACACTAAACAAGGAAGAGCATGTGCAGCGTTGGACATTGTTGCAGATATATATTTAGAGGAACAAGCATTGGAGGTACATTGGCACCCTGATGTTTTCACAGGCTTTTGTTCTTTCTTGCTTTTTTTTTGAGTCTATTTTGTTTCCATACAACTTATTGGTCAGTTTGTTTAGCGCCATCATCAGTCCAGCGTTTTAGGCCATTAACAGTTTTGCAGTCTCTCTGCAATATTGGGTTGCTCCAGCTACTCTTTGAATCTTCCCCCAGCAATACAACAAGCTGTTATGTTTGGTGTGGTCATAGCAAAAAGGGTTATCCTGAGAGAGTGGACATCAGTTTCCTCTTCGTGCTTTAAAAAAATGGCTAAATGACATGGTTTCTCGTCTGTACCTTGAAGACATTTGGTATACCCAGTCCAATGCCCACCCCAAGTTTCTTAGAAGGGAGAGATGTAACTTTGGAAACTGA